ATGCCGATAAATGCTACTAAAACTAATGCGACAACTCTATCAAATGTTGCAACAAATATATTTTTTTTTTTAGATTACCATTAGAGAATTCAAACACAAAATAGCCAACGACAAATGGAATCCTTAAAGTCTCTACGCTCATGTTATCAACAAACGCACCGTGAGAAATAAATAACTTCCATGTGCCTACTGTTTGAAGAAATAAGCAGCAACCGAGCATTCATTTCCAATATACTCACAATCAGTTTCAGTCAGTCTTCATGGTTGAACCGTCATATCCCTTCATCAAATGCACAACCATTTTAATCAAGTCATCATATTACCAGGTTATGATGTTATCCATATCAGCTTGCTCGTGATAGCCTGGACTTAAACCTGGTTGATGGAGCTCAACGTCAATAATTGCAAAGTTATGTACATTACCAAATACAACATTTCATCACACGTTTACTCAATGAACAAGCATTGCGCTAACAACAGAACAGAACTTGGGTAACATCAATTGAAAAAGACCTAGTTGTTTAAATTAACAATAGTTTTAAGCATGAGAATTAAGCCAAAATTGCCGCTGCTGAAGCCAATAATGTCTTTGGAATCTTAAAAGACACCTTTATCAGCAGAGAAACAAAAAAAATGAAAATATTTTTACACCACTAACATACACCCACATCTTGAGGTTGCAGTTACCGCCTGGTGTCTGTATCTTGAAAAAGATATAAATGCCATAGAACGCATTCAGTATTCGGCTACCAAAGTAATACACAAAACGAAGCACTTCAACTAAATGACAAGATACATCAAACTTGGAGTCACCTCACTACTCAACTATCATCCTCATCCAAAAAATAAAACTGAGAACAACATCAACTCAGTTAGCTGGCATATTACTTCACTTAACATCCCACTAAGCTACGGTCATTGCAAGCGCTTTTATTGCGAAATAGACAACAACTGCCAACCACCGCGTTGCTCATCCCCGGAGCGCACTTCCAAACAAAGTTGTCAGTGCTATTAGTGTCAACTGCTTCAAATTAAATCTTTTTATCGGCTATCACTTCAACTACCATAACGCACTATGGGACCAATCGGTATTTTCTATCTCAAAAATTAATAACTCTGTTCTTTTGTAATTTTTCTTCTTGAATATCTTTTTTATTTATGAATATCTAGACAATAAAAGAAATCAAAATCGTCATTTTAAAAATTATTAGTTTTTTATAAAAAAATACCAAGATAAAGTTATACGAAATTTCATACAAAAAATTATACAGTTATTAAAATAGCAATAAAAGTAACACTTTTGCTTAAAATAAGTTTAAAACAAAATTATTATTATTATCAAACAAACAGTTACATGATAAAAAATTAAAATTTTTTAGCGCCTATGAAGAATTACATAAATGCTCTTGATTATTTTTTTATCAATTACGGATATTTCTGCAGGACATTGGTAGTTTTGAAAAAATCTTCTTGCCGTTTTACCGCCATTGGTAGTACCGGAATCTTGACGTGGTTTATCAATGTACAAACCAAGCACTTATCGGAAACGTTTTTGAACATATTTTTTCTTGTCTTCTTTAAGTTGCTTGTTTTCTAGAGTTGTTTCAGACCACTTCTTAAAACTTAAATTGTAAAAAATATTGAGGTTCGTTTACATAAATCTTATCCATGCGTGTCGAAAATTCGCATTTAAACGTATTTTTATGTTTAACTCTTGTTGTAACTTTTAAAAGATTCGTTTTTCTGGGAGTTGCACGACAAACACTGCAAGTAGCACTGGATGATGTGTTTGTTAACATTTGAGCAACATTACTATCAATCGCTGTCATAAACAGTTCATGTTTAACTTCGATGACTTTGTCGGCTATAGACACTAGAGTTGGAACCGATGGATTAATTTTGGCTTCAATTTTACCGACAACCGCTGTAGCTTTTTTGGCTGTTTCAATTGCAAATTCTAATAAAATTCGTCTGCAAAATCCAACAGATGAGCAAGTAGGGTTTTGCCATATAACAGCAGAAGTTTTTTTGTCTACTAGTCGCAAGGGACACTATAAATAAATTAGTATCCGATATTTGTATATCAGGCAGACTGTATGGTCTCAGAGATCTTGCAGATTGATTTTTGCGCTTATATCACCGTTATGCTGAATACAGGCGGATAACAAGTCTTTTTTGCTTCACTTAGTATTTGATACGAAGTCAATACAGAACTTAAATTCTTATCAACGAGTCTTTTTCTAAGGTATGTATATTGGGCTTTTGTTAAATCTGTTTCAATACACATACTCAATGCCTCCTCTTTTTTAAAGGAAAGTGCATTATCTGGATTAAGTATGTCTTGTAGAATTACTTTTTTCTATTCTTTTTCCTTATTTCTGTTAATAGTAACAATCGACGCTTCGTTATTTTAACCCATGGATTGTAAACCTCACAGATAAGCGTAACAAATATGTCCCATTCCATACTCCTGGCCTCCATATTTTTTCGTTTCCTTGTGTTTTCCGAATGATCTTGTTGGTCTACAACAATCACCAGAAGTATTCAAGCCAGAATTTTTAAATGTTGGGGTACTGCAAGAACTCTATTGTACTTTAAACTCACCATTTTATTAATTTGAGTATAAACACTCAAACCAGTCTGGCTTTCTTTGATATTTGGCACATTTCTGGTTGCAACTTGGTGTTAAATTTTTTTTGAATACTTTCAATTATGGGAAACTGAAGTTAATACTACGTATTAACGTCAGTTTCCCATAATTGAAAGATATCCAACAAATACTTTTTGAGGTACTTTTTAAAAATACTTAGAGTACTTTTTCCTCTTATTAATTGATCACAAAGATTGCGTCAAACACAAACAAATTCACTCATTGTTAGATAATATGTTTTTTTCTGTACATTTTTATTGAAAAAAATTCTGATTGTAATTATTTACCACAACAGATAATTAGAACTTCCACATCAATATAGTTTATCAAGCTTGTGGTTAAGGTGATCACCGTAAACAAAAGTGCCATGGGAAAGTTCTTTCAAATATAATACTAGTCTATTAATTTGTTTATGTACGCCTCTATCATAAAAATGAAAAAAAAAACAAAAAAACAAAATAGATAGCAAAATATAATACTTCATAATAAACAAGAAGAACCGTAATTTTAGGGGATTTTTTTTTTTTCCTGATTGGCATTATTGCTTCTAAACCAAAAACGCAAAAAAACGCGCAAGTTTTTTTGAATCCTTAGGATGGAAAATAATATTTGGTCCAATAGTGCAACGCTTTATCTTCTGTGCAATCATGCACGAACTAACCAGGCTAGCTATTGAAGGGCGGAACACGCTCCTTCTGTGTTATTAACTAGCTAACTAACATAAATAAAAAATAAACTTCACTGTAACACTTTAAAAAGAATGCACGGTCTTTTTATCAAGAATCGCTTTACTTATTCATACATATAAAAACAAGGGTTCACAGAAATTTTACATTAAGCCATTACATTATAATAGTATTAAAGAGTAAAATAACATTTATCGTGTTGTTTTTTTTTCGTATAGTTTTTTTGAACCAATTTAAGTTTTTGAAAACAATAATATTTAGATTAAATAGTAAAAACTTATTTCTATATTATTATTATTCCTATATGAGGTGGACAAAATATTAAGGTTGAAAACTTATTTCTATATTATTATTATTCCTATATGAGGTGGACAAAATATTAAAGTTATTTCGATATTATTATTATTCCTATATGAGGTGGACGTAATATTAAACTCGTCAAGCTTATTTTTGCATAAAGGCTCTAACAGGGAAGATAAAGGTAGGGAACTATTTGTACGCAATAAATATTTATACCCTAGCATTTTTTAAAAAGACTTTAAAAAATTGAAGGACTTTTTCGCATTTTGCTATTATACACGAAACTTAAAACATTAAACATATTTATTTCAAACAATTTCCGAAAGACATTTTTTCAAAAAGAGATTTTAAGTGTTCTTTTGATAATTAATCACTCGTATGGCATGCCTCCGCTAGTTAGAAGCATGATTCCGCTAGAAAGAAACATGCTATTGCTAAATAGAAGCATGCTTCCGTTAGTTAGAAGCAATAATAATAATAATAATAATAATAATAATAATAATAATAATAATAATAATAATAATAATAAGCAATAATTGAATATGTTACTACTATACAATCTACTGTTTTATTTTAGGCTTTCTATTGTTAAAATATGATTTTAATTTTGCAAATTTCCATGATTTGAAATTTGCTTTATTAATCATTATAAGTGCCTCAAGAACCTTAAACATTTAACGGATCCCCAATATTTCAAATATAAGCCATGTCTGGTCTCAAATAAAATAAAAATTATACAAAAATCTGAAATATATTAGTCATTTGTATATATATATGTATATTTATATCATAGATCATCTAGGTCATATTTTAAAAAGCCGGAAAATCAGTTGGGTAAAATATTCAGAAAATATCCGGAATATATTTTCCCTAATATTCTTCTTAATTTTGATTTTAGCTGAGCTATATTTAATTTTTTTTTTAACTTATCTTAATTTTTGTATGAGTAATAAGTGTAATATATTCATAAACTTGTATGTATAGAAAACATTTTTGATATCCGGAAAATCTAAAAGTTGAGAAAAATATCCGGAATTCCGGAAATATCCGGAAAAAGATAATCCTACTGTATAACTAGATGCGAGTCAGGCATCTAGTTATACAGTAGAATCCCGTTGACTCAGACCCTGGATAAGTCGGACAAATTTTCAATTCCGCTTGAATTCTCTATACATACCAAAAGCTTCGCTTAATTCAGACATTTGCTAGGTCGAACAAAATATATATAGCCGTTCAGAGTCCGATTCTACTGTATTTATACGTCATTGATTGGTAGTCTTTTATTAACTTCATTAAAATGGTAACATTTGCTTTTACTTATTTGTGGCTAATTGAATTGAATGTTATAACCAATACAACCAATGTTACTGTTACCGAAATATATTTATAAAAAATATAAATACATAAATAATATAATGCCAGAACAAGAAGACCATCTAATTGCTGAGTCCTGTTTACATTGCCTAATTTTTGCAGCGTCTGTTGCTGTGAAGTCAATAACCGTTTTTGGAGCATTAAAATGTCTGTAAATGAATTAAAGTTAATCGATAATTAAAACGTCGTCATTATAAATGCTACACGATATTTTTTTGTTCGTTTTTTTTCAGACATTTGACTGCCAGGTTTTAGCTTTTATTTCTAAAAATTAAAAACACAATTTAATAGAAAACACCAATAGATAGTATATTAAACAACGTGATCCATAAACTCAAATCATTATCATTATCAAATTTATAATAAAAAAACTTTAAAATAGATAACGAAAACTTGATTTAAAAAACTTTTTTTACATTTAAGTATTTATTTATTAACTTATTTAGTTTTTATTATTAGTTCTTTATTAGTTTTATTTATTATTAGTTATTTTATCCTAATAATTTTTATTTCATTATTTTAAGTTTATCTTAATAACCTTTATTTCATTATTTTAATTGCAAGACCGTCTTAACTATTAAAAAATCTTTATATAAAAGAAAAAATAAAAATGAAACAATAATGAAGTCTTAAGAAATCTTAGAGATTTTTTAAAACGGATAAGACAGCAAAATAATTGAATAAAAAAGAAAACAAAAAGGGGAAATCTCTGCGAGAACAAAAGGGGAAATCTCTGCCAGAACAAAAAGGAAAATCTCTGCGAGTATTAAAATCTACTTGTGGAGAACAACGTATTAGTATGACTTCACCGCAAGAAGATATTGAATCTTTTGATAAAATAGAAGAAGTTAAGTTGATTTAGAATCATAAGGATTTGTGACTTCTAAATTCAGAGTATTTTGATTAAAAGAATCTGCGATGTGATTATTTATTGATCTTCGACAAAGTTATTATACGTTTTAAAACTGATGCTTGTGGTAGTCAAAATAAAAATAGCGCTATAACTTACATGGCTGTATTAGAAAAAACAATTAAATTTTTATGTCCTGATGAGGGCATACCTTTTTATCGTGTGACCATGTATTCAAAACATTTGAAAAAAAGTTTATGAAAAGTGAAAGAATACTCCAGAAGAGTACTAAAATGTTTTAGGTACCGTGAGTTAGGGTGAATGGGAACAGCGAGGTGAATAGAAACACAAATCATTGAATTTGTTTAAAAATTTGTAATTACCGCACTTTTTTAGTTAGAAACACACGGTTTTCAGCACATGGTTCCTTTAAATAAGTCTTGTTTATGTCTAGATTTCACGGCCATCTTGATTGGTTGTTTTGTAACTCAAACTTCAATATTTTTGTATTTGTTCACATCCGAAGAAACTTGGGACTTGGGACCATCAGGTAAATGAAAATATCATTATATAACCTTGTTTTATTAATAGTCGAAGTTTCTTGTTTCCATTGCTATATAAATCTTTAATGGGAGTGGAATATTATGGAAGTTATAAGCGTGTTTTTAAAACTGTGTGCTTTTTTTGTAGGTTATGTTTTGGAAGTAATCATGCCAAGGAACTACAAGCCCGACCCAGATGGCAAAAGATACAAAAAAATAAATATGGAGGTATTGGAAAATACTCTCCAAGCTGTGAGAAAAGGTATGAGCTATAGAAAAATGGCGGACAAATTTGGTATTCCGAAGACTGTCATTTACAGACATATGAAGAATGACAGCTTGAAACCCCAGGGTGGTCAAATTGCACTTAATCCTTAAGTTGAGCAAATCTCAGTGGGGCTATCCCATGGATTTGTATGACCTGGGACTAGTCAGGACATACTTGGATAAGAGGGAGCAGACTGTAACCAGGTTTAAAAGTAATATGCCTGGAGCCGAGTTTGCGAAATCATTTTTGCATCGTCATCGGAATGATGTCGGTGAGGATGTGCCAAAACATAAAGAGATCACGTGCAGGTGTAAATGCGGAAGAAGTCAATGATTATTTCAATCATCTGGAAGTTTAATTGCAAGGTCTACCTCCACAAAATATTGTTTACTACAATGAGACCAATCTGTCCTATGATCCCGGACGGAAAAAAGTCATAACAAAACGTGGGACTAAATATCCTGAACGCGGACTAAATATCCTGAACGTGTACTAAACCACATTATTGATGTCTGCCACATTAATAATGTACGCGGCAGCTGCTGATGGCAAAGTCCTGCCACATATGTTGTGTATAAGGCGGTACATATATATAGCGGACTAAATATCCTGAACGCGTACTAAACCACATTATTGATCCTGAACGCGTACTAAACCACATTATGGACGGTTGGAGGCCCAAATGGTACGTGCTACAACCGTAGCAAATCAGGGTTTGACATGGTTTATTTTGAAGATTGGATCGAGTGTGTGGCAGTTCCTTATTTGAAAAAATTACCTGGTCGAAAAATACTATTGGGTGACAATCTGTCAAGCCACCTGAGTGCTAGTGCAGTTGAACTTTGTACGAGGTACAACATCGAGTTTGTTTTTCTACCCGCAAACTCAACGCACCTGACTCAGCCGTTAGACGTAGCATTCTTACGACCCTTAAAAACAGCCTTGCGAACAATTCTACTTGAATGGAAAAAAGGTCCAGGAAGAAAGGAAACTACCATCCCAAAAAATACTTTTCCTCATCCTCTCAAGAAGTTGACCATAGAGATAGCTAAAAACCATTTTTTAAAAAAACTAAAAAGATTTTTTATTATAAAATTTTAGAATTTCTTAATTTAGCATAGGTGTAACTAATTCGATATCAAGTATCATAACCACTTTATATTATTGTACTTCAATTACAGTGGCTTAGACCTATTTTAATTTTAAGAGAGTTGGTCAGAAGGCTGTATTCTAGGGCTCACTTCTTAAGTATTTTATTTATGCATAAAGCTTAATTTTATTGCTAATTTGCATCCAATTAATCACTTTAATTTGTTACAAATAAAAGTGATTAATTGGATGCAAATAGCATTGCTTAAAAAACATATATTTTTGTATACAAATAGCATTGCTTAAAAAACATATATTTTGTTCCTATTGACCCCTTGACTCGTGTGAATAGAAATATGTGGCATTCTAAAATTACTGTTCCTATTCACCTCAACTTGGAGGGAAATAATAAAATAGGAACACTAAGATGACTTAAAAAAAAATTGTAAATACGGTTTAAAAAAAAACACTTGTTATTTGCACTACATAAGTTTAAAAGTACCAAATAAATAAAAAAAATGAAAATGTAACAATAACTGTGGTAATTATGATAAAAAAAAACAAGACAAAAACTGTCTCTATTCACCCGAATCACGGTATTGAAGGAGTTGTAAAAATAGAATGTGTTTGATTTTAAGTCAGTATGTCAAAGAGTCTTTTAAAAGCCATTGCCAATCAAAATTCAGGAAAAAACGTTTTTTTATTACAAGAGGATCAGCTAAAAATATTAAAGTTCAAGCGGAACCTAATTTTAAATTTTTTGTGAATTATCTTCAGATTATAGCTAAAAGAGGATAATTTTTTATCTTGTCCCTCCCAAATTCAAAATGGAGTCCCAGTAGCAGAGGCTAGAAGAAAAAAAAAAGATTTAATGTATGTGCATGCAGGTGTGAACTGGGAGCAAGATATTCGTTTTGAGTTTTTTAAAAGTATAGTTAACAAGTCTTTAATAGAAAAAAACCCAGAAGATGAAGAAATATATGCAATTTTCGCGTGGCATGTAATCATGTTTAACTTATTCGTTTGTACAGCAATTTCTTTTGTTAAAATTCTTAATAAAAAAACTGCAACTATTAAAATAGTATTATGTTTATTTTATACTATTAATTTTTTCTATAATTCATGAAAATCAAAGCCTTTTTAATTTTCTTATTTTTCAAATCATTTTAATGTTTTTTAACAGAACAAAACAAATCTTGTATCAATTCAATCAAGCTCTTATATATTTACAAATATATATATATATATATATATATATATATATATATATATATATATATATATATATATATATATATATATATATATATATATTTCCACAACATTTATCTACAATAACAAATTAACACTCTCTACAGCCCACAACAACATTCGCAATAAGTAAATAATATTATTCACAACTGTGATTGGATGAAATAAAATTCATAAAATAAAAAATAAAAACAAAGTAACAACAAATAAATATTAAAAAATTTACATACATTTATTTTTTTTATCTTTTCTCCATAAAAGTCATAAACATACTGTGCTAAGTGAGGCATGTCACGAATGATCAATGGATTACCCTCCGGTTGAACTGAATTCTTTAAAGAAAGTATTCCTTAACATTAGTATATATACTAATAACATAAAATATAAAAAAAAAGTTAAAATTAAAAAAAAATACTAGTCTAGTTGTTGGGTAGGTTTCCCAGGGTGCTAGAAAAAGTTGTAATGGGCGAGAAACGAGCTAAAAGAAAAAAATTTTAGTTAAAAAACTAATTGCTTTTTCACTGGTAATTAAAAAACTTTTCAAAAAATAAGACAATCAAAATAATGAAACACTAAAACAATAAAAAAAGAATTTAATAACTAACTGGCTAAAAACTGGTCGCAACTTAAAACAATAAAAAAAGAATTTAATTACTAATTGGGTAAAAGCTTGACATAACTTAAAACAATAAAAAAAGAATTAACAACAACCTGGCTAAAAGCTGGACGCAACTCAAAACAATTTTGAAAAAGGCTAACTCGAGCAAACACATATAAACCTAAACGTGCACGAGACATTGCCACAACTAATCGACGAACATCACGCAGATGGCCAACTGACTTAGTACGGACAAGGGATAATATTATATAGTCATTTTGCTGACCTTGATACCTATCAACTGTTGTCACCTTAAAATAAACAAATTCATGTACATAGACTGCATATCACACACATATATATATTATAAACATATATACATACATATATACAGTGTAAGAAAAAAAAGCTTTTGCAAAAGGTTTTTTACACTCACATAAGGTTTTCTACCACTAGAAAACCTTTCAGTGTGAAAAAAAAGGTTTTTTGAAAAAGTTATATTAGAAATCTTTTTTTAGTGAAAGAATATTTTTTTAGCAAAGGTTTTTTTTGTGGGGAAACATATAAAAAACCATTAAATACTGAGTGCCATTAAATGATATCAAGGCATAATTAAAGAAGGATAAAAATAGAAATACAAATGCCTAGCAATATGCTATTTTAAATAAAATAAATAGTATTTATGTTAATTTATTACATTTAAAATTGTATTTTGTTAAAATTTTGTTAAAATACGCAAAAATGTATACTTTTAAGTTAACCTTTTTATCTATGAGATTCCTATAGGTCAATGTAATCCTTTTTAAAATTTTAAAGTAATAATTTTAAAAGCTAATAACTAAAATTTAAAGTAGAACTAATAATAAAGTTAAGGAATAATGTCTGCAAATATTGAAAACTGGTCACCTGCAGAAGTAGCCAAATGGCTGATAGATAATGGATTTAATGAACAGACTGCAGCAAAATTTGAAAGTAATTTTTTTATTATGCATTTTATAGTAAACATTTTTAATTGTACTGTTTACATTGCAGGTTCCTAATAATATACAGTAGCCAAACATGCCCCAGTTTCTTTGTAAATGTGGCAACAATTATTTTTCATTTGGAAAGTATTTGCAACATCTTATCTTGTTTCGTGAAAATCAGCCTCTTTTTTACATTAGATGTGTTTCAAGTGCATGCAAGCAAACTTTCAAATGTGCATTTCTTCTTTTGCGAATCAGAGAAGTACACATACTTCTGTTCATGCGGAAATTGCAAAAGATATACAAAACCTACTTTTGATTACACTTAGCAGTTTTAAGGATGTTATATGTCAATATTTATTCAAAAATAATATTTTACCACTGGAAAATGATTGGGCACATATAACAGACACAGAAAGATTGCTGCAATTCATGGGTGAGATGTCTTCAAATGAAAATAGACTAATAGGATTATTGAAAAGCAAAAATATGATGGGAATTCCTAGACAAATAGAATTTAGAATAAATAATACAACTGCTGTTTTTCAATACACTCCAATTTTGGAAGTTTTATCAAAATTAGTTTCCCTTGTTTACAACTGTTTGGGTGACAGTTACAATCAGTCTTTTTCTAATGATGATTTTATGATATCTTTTAGTAACAGTGAATTTTTTCATAGTGACAGGTTTTTTTCAGAATATCCAAGTGCATGGCAGATTCAGTTATATGTAGATGAAGTTGAGCTTTGCAATCCAATAGGAGCTAAGCAAGGGAAGCATAAAATGACTGCATTTTATTTTTTGTTAGGCAATATTCCATCTGAGTTTATTCAAAGCAAAAATTTATTCCTTTGGCTTTATTGATTGAACATAAATTTATTAAAATGACCAAAAATGACTACACTAAAGTTCTTTGTCCATTAGTTTTGATTTAAATGTACAGCAGAGAGAAGGAATTGAGATTTCCACCAATGTTCAAAAGGCAAACTTACAGGTATATTGGCTGATATGCTTTCAGCTCATGTTATAGGAGGATTTCAGCAGTATTTCCAAACTGGAAGAATTTATCTTTTCTTAATGGTGGACAAGTCAGAAATTGGAAATAACTTTAGTGAAAGCACTCTCTGTCTCAGAACACCGGAAATTTATAAATATCACTTAGCTGCTATAACTGATAATGCAGCAAACAAGAATTTGTATGTGTTAACAAAAAGTCCAACTTTTTAGAGTTGGATAACTTTGATGTACTTACAGCTTTTCCTCCAGATATAATGCATGGCTTATTCGAAGGTAATATGCCAGTAACTTTGAAATGTGTTATCAAACATATGTTACGCTCTTGTAATATGTTATCAGTAAATAATATAAATGATTCTATAAACAAAATTCATTTAATTAATTCATTTAATTGCCCTTGCAAATTATCTAAAAACAAAAAGCGCACATAAATGGAACCACTGTATTTGTATTTAAAGCACACATAAATAGAACATCTGTATTGTAAGCGCACATAAATGGAACATCTGTATTGTATATAAAGCGTACATAAATGGAAAATCTGTATGTACAGAAATAAAAACTTTTCCTATTGTTTTTGCAATTAGTTGGTAATGATGTACCACAGGGAAATATTGTCTGGGAGGTTTATCTTATTTTTTGCGAAATATGTGACAGTTAATGCCCCAATTGTAGACAGTGACAGTATATACATGTTAGAAGAATTAGTTGCTATGTTTTTGAAAACGTTTTTTGAAGTATTTGATTCTGAATATATTATTCACAAAAATGCACATGCTTGTTCATAGTTCACATGCCTTTTTTGGCCTTTACAAAATTTTTGGTGTTTACAATTTGAATATAACCATCAGTATTTTAAAAAAGCTGCCTCAAATGGACAATGTTTCAAGAATATTACCAAAACATTAAAGCATCATCAAATGCGAAACACTGACAGATGTTTTTATCTAATTATACTGTGTCTGGAAACACACCTAGATTTTTTCATAACTTGGATCTTAAAAAACAAGAAGCTATAAAATTGTTACTTAATTTAGATATAGAAGGGAATGAGTCCATTGTTATAGCAAAATCAATATCAATTGATAGTATTTGCTATTCTATTTAAGCAGTGTATGTGTTGCATACTGTTATAGAAGAAACTATCCAAATTTTTTTTAGTCATATACATTGTTTTTTTATGCAACTGTTGGTTGTTATGTGGACACCTATTGACACCAAATTATTTTTCACATCATTTGCATTCTTATCAAGTTTTGGATGAAAATGATTGGAGAGTTTGCAGAACAGAATGTTTTATTGATTTTAATCAGCATGACTATTTTAAATTCAAAAACTGTCAGTATGTGAGCATGAGGTACAGCGTTATGCATCCGTCTTTCTCTTCAATTTAAGGACATGATTACTTAAATACTTATTTAGTTTGTTTATTTTATGTAGTTTGTTTATTTGAAAACTATGTATGTTTAGTAAAACTAGAGTTCTTATTGTTTATTTGCAATAGGGCATGAATAACCTGGTGACTATTTATGCGACCTTACAGAGGAAATGCTAACAGAGCTTTTAAATTAAATAAAAGATCGCATAAGATTAATTCACTTGATGAAAGCAAAAAAACAATCTGTATCAGCAACATTAGATAATTCTAAATCTACCTATACTGCAGTTGTATCAAGTGTTATCAGTGTAAATAATGAAAAGGGCAAAACAACAAACAGTGGCAGTTTTCCAGAAATTGAAGAAGCAGAATGTGTACATAGGTTTGTAAGAGTATTTTTACTTTCTATACATACAGTGGTGTGCAAAATAATAGGTAATTGTTAAATAATTTGACTTTTTGTACGAAATAAGTTCTTAATAATAGATATATAACTAGATTATTTTTTACAAATATCTACTGTGCAAAAAAATAGGTAAATTAAAATTAAGTACATATTTTATTGGAAATAATGAACAATAATAAATAAAAATTTAATTTACTTATGATTTATTAATATTTGGTTGTATACCCTTTATATGCAATTATCGCTGCACATCTTTTCGGTATGGTATCAACTAATTTTTGGCATATACTTATTGAAAAGTTTTTCCAAATATATTGAATGTTTTTCCATAGTTCATGTTTATTTTTGGTCTAATGAAGTTTTCCTTATTCATTTTTTACATGTGCCCAGAAATTTTCTATGGGAATAATGTCTGTTGATTGGGATGGCCATTTCAAAATACGAATTTTCTTGTTATAAAACCAATTTTTTACTACCTTCGCAGTATGCTTTAGGTCATTATTTTGTTGATAGACCCATATCAGAGGTAGATTTTCTTCTGCAAATGGTAGCATAACATCCTGTAGTATATTTAAATATATTTCTTTATTCATATTTTCTTTGATCAAAAAAAGGGGGCCTACTCCATAATGTAAAAAGCAACCCCATATTTTAATATTTCCACCGTCATGTTAAAGTGTTTTTACAATGTATCTGGGATTATATTCTTTTCCTTTTGGTCTTCTGACATCTTTTTTCAGTGCATCTAATCCAAACAAGTTAATTTTGGTCTCATCTGACTAAAGAATATTTTGCCATTTTAAAGATGGCCAGCCCATATGTTCCCTAGCAAAATCTTTTCTGCTTTATATATTATTTGGTGATAAAAATGGGCACTTCTTTAGTACCTTGGGTTCCTCAAGGTTCTATGACGCTATACTCTTTTTAATTTACATTAACAATCTTCCAGATATTCTTACATCTAAGTTGGCATTGTTTACAAATGATACTATCATTTGTTCTTATCTTGATATGAAGCCAACTTCATTTGAGGGGGCATTTGAACCCTCTCCAAGGAATCAGAGAGTGTTGGCTTCTTTTTTATCTGAATTAAAGTTTACCAGCTCAGTGGCTGGTGAACTTTAATTCAGATAAACCCAATTTTTTCAGCTAATCGTTATCGCAATAATTTAAATGAACGGTAATGTACTTGATGAATCATCTACCCTTGACCTAAATACTTGCTCTAACAAGCAAGCTACTTAATTTTAATCATTTTTATAATATATATATATATATATATATATATATATATATATATATATATATATATATATATATATATATATATATATATATATATATATATATATATATATATATATATATATATATATATATATATATATATATATATATATATATTTATTTAAATCAAGTTTTTAAAAAAATTTTTCAGCATATAAATTTAAACTATGCCTCTACCTCCTCTACCTCCATTTTTTTCAATAAAATTTTTTTTTTTAATAAATTTATAAATTTAGTAAATTTAATTATCAAAAGTTACTATAATTGTTATTTGTGATTAAGTTAGCAATTAAAAATTGTATTAAACCTAAAATGTGTGAAAAATGAAATATTAAAAATATAAAAATATACAGGATATAGAAACGTATATAAAAAAATTTAAAAAAATACTTACAGAAACTCATAGAAAAATAATGCATATATTATAAGATTATGAGAGTCAAAAATATTAAGTAATTGTTTAATGCAAATATAAGATTATGAGAATCAAAAATATTAAGTAATTGTTTAATGCAAATATAAGATTATGAGAATCAAAAATATTAAGTAATTGTTTAATGCAAATATAAGATTATGAGAACCAAAAATATTAAGTAATTGTTTAATGCAAATATAAGATTATGAGAATCAAAAATATTAAGTAATTGTTTAATGCAAATATAAGATTATGAGAATCAAAAATATTAAGTAATTGTTTAATGCAAATATAAGATTATGAGAATCAAAAATATTAAGTAATTGTTTAATGCAAATATAAGATTTTGGGAATCAAAAATATTAAGTAATTGTTTAATGCAAATATAAGATTATGAGAATTAAAAATATTAAGTAATTGTTTAATGCAAATATAAGATTATGAGAATCAAAAATATTAAGTAATTGTTTAATGCAAATATAAGATTATGAGAATCAAAAATATTAAGTAATTGTTTAATGCAAATATAAGATTATGAGAATCAAAAATATTAAGTAATTGTTTAATGCAAATATAAGATTATGAGAATTAAAAATATTAAGTAATTGTTTAATGCAAATATAAGATTATGAGAATCAAAAATATTAAGTAATTGTTTAATGCAAATATAAGATTATGAGAATTAAAAATATTAAGTAATTGTTTAATGCAAATATAAGATTATGAGAATTAAAAATATTAAGTAATTGTTTAATGCAAATATAAGATTATGAGAATCAAAAATATTAAGTAATTGTTTAATGCAAATATAAGATTATGAGAATCAAAAATATTAAGTAATTGTTTAATGCAAATATAAGATTATGAGAATCAAAAATATTAAGTAATTGTTTAATGCAAATAATTTTAATTAAACAAATATAAAAGTAAAATTGGAATTGTTGAAATTAGATTTAAAACTAAATTTATAAAGCAAAAACAACTTTACTTTAAGTGGCTTTCCAATTAATGGATTATCAGCACATCTTTTATTGATAACATCCCGAATAAGATGCTTCTGCCCATTATAAGTAGTTAAAATTGAAATTGATGTTGCAGGATATCCAAGCAAACGCATATACATAAACAATGCAACGCTATACTCAGCTTCTGCAAGATTCTAAAAGCAAAGTTTAGCAATAAAAATACACACAATAATGAGTTATCATGTTATGCTCATTTTTATATAAAAAAGTTATATAACAATAAAAAACTGTTTGTACTGTTGCTAATATAGCCTACAATTATTATGTAGATTTTAAGTAAGATCAATAAGGGATGGAATGTTTTTTTGTGTAAACAAATTTCATAATTTTTGAATTAATTTGAATTATGGATTAGCATAGAACTAATGTATATTTAAAATAAAATATTGTTGATTTGACAGTTCTGCAACTAGAAATCTAGCCATTCGAATTCTTAAATAGAATGTTTACTAGTGTATGTTTACCAGAAAAAAAATCATTACTTTAAAAAAAAAAAAAATTAAAAAAACCAGATTTTTTTGGCTTAAATTTTTTATAATTGTTAATTGAATGTTAATGGCCAAAAAAGAAGTATACTAAAGATTTTAAAATTATTTCTTTTAAATTTATGCCTCCACAAGTATCTATACCATTGTATGAGGATTCTCTACAATTTTTTATATTAAGTTTGTATTGTATTAAGTTTTTATTTTATATTTTATATTAATTAAAAAATTATTAACTAATAAAAAAATTATTAAAATTTGCTCCTGTTTTCCTAAAGATAATACTCTAAAATATTTGAAAACTCTTGCTACATTTTTACAGAGACAAAAAATTTTATTTTTAAAACATACTAAACAATAACAAAACATGTCTAGAAGAAGATCTAACTCAGATTGATCTAAATATTAAATAATAAAGGTCTATTAAATAAAGTTCTGTGTTGTTGTCACATGTTAGTACAAGTCATTGTCTAAAAGCTTGATGAGATTACAATAAAAATTTTGATGAGATTACAAGAAAGATTTTGATGAAATTATAAGAAAGATTTTGATGAGATTACAAGAAAGATTTTGATGAGATTACAAGAAAGATTTTTGCAACAAATTTATCATTTCAATTAGTTGATGATCCAGAATTACAAAAACTTATGTTGATTTTGAGACCAGGCTATAGTGATCCAAAAAAAAGGATACTGCTGACAAATTATAACATTTTATAGTTATAGTGTATGTAGAGTGAAGAGGTTACTGTGGTTACATTTCATTACTACAGATGATTCAAAGAGATATGATTAATAGAGAGGATTTATTGCAATTTTTCATTGTATTTCATGTTATATTTTTTTTTTTGGTTAAGCAATGTAGATATTGTGAAGTAAGTTGACTGAGAGTTTGGCAGTTGTTTCTAGGCCATTAACAAATGAATATTTAAAAATACTTATAACTAGCAAATACAATAAGTAAAAGGTTGGCAGTAGCATAAATAACCATAAAAAGCTAACTCAGTATAACTGAGTTTGAGTTCAAATATAGAGATTAAATCAAAAAGAAATTTAAAATATCAAAACAAAATAATTTTTTCAGAACTTTGCAAAATGGAAAAAATGTCAAGTTTTAGACATAAAATTTCAAAATAAAAATAAATTACTTAGATTGGCAATTTTCTTGGATAACAAAAATCCAGAAGATAACAATAAAAACTCAAAGATTAGTTGGAAAATAATTAGAAGATGTGAAGCCTATAACCTAACAACAAAATCGTGCAAGTTATAAATTAATAAAAAATATGAAATTATTTCAAACAATGACAACAGTTTATTAAATATAAAACTGAAATTATATCAAAATGTTGGGATAGAAATACTTCAACTATTTAAATACTAAAACTTCCTATTTTTTTTATGATGTCATCCATGTGCGCCTAATTTTGTATTTATGTATATAATTTTGGTCAATACTTTTTTCCAGCGAGCAAATCCAGTTTTCGCATTTTTTGTAAAATCAAGAGCCGAATTATATAAAATCATTCAACTCCTTTCATTTAATTAATTATATAAAATTATAAAAAAAGAATTATATAAAAAAAAGATCTGGAAATTAAAAAAAGAATTATATAAAATCGTTCAACTCCTTATACTCATATAATAATTTGCAATCTTATAATAATTTGCAATAAATAATTTAATATGCTTATTATATTATACAATTAATAACTGTCTCTTCCAACTTATATTAAACAATTAATAACTGTCTCTTCCTTCTTATATTAAACAATTAATAACTGTCTCTTCCTTCTTATATTAAACAATTAATAACTGACTCTTCCTTCTTATATTAAACAATTAATAACTGTCTCTTCCTTCTTATATTAAACAATTAATAACTGTCTCTTCTTTCTTATATTAAACAATTAATAACTGTCTCTTCCTTCTTATATTAAACAATTAATAACTGTCTCTTCCTTCTTATATTAAACAATTAATAACTGTCTCTTCCTTCTTATATTAAAGAATTAATAACTGTCTCTTCTTTCTTATATTAAACAATTAATAACTGTCTCTTCCTTCTTATATTAAACAATTGATAACTGTCTCTTCCTTCTTATATTAAACAATTAATAACTGTCTCTTCCTTTTTATATTAAACAATTAATAACTGTCTCTTCTTTCTTATATTAAACAATTAATAACTGTCTCTTCCTTCTTATATTAAACAATTAATAACTGTCTCTTCCTTCTTATATTAAACAATTAATAACTGTCTCTTCCTTCTTATATTAAACAATTAATAACTGTCTCTTCCTTCTTATATTAAACAATTAATAACTGTCTCTTCCTTCTTATATTAAAGAATTAATAACTGTCTCTTCCTTCTTATATTAAAGAATTAATAACTGTCTCTTCCTTCTTATATTAAAGAATTAATAACTGTCTCTTCCTTCTTATATTAAACAATTAATAACTGTCTCTTCCTTCTTATATTAAACAATTAATAACTGTCTCTTCCTTCTTATATTAAAGAATTAATAACTGTCTCTTCCTTCTTATATTAAACAATTAATAACTGTCTCTTCCTTCTTATATTAAACAATTAATAACTGTCTCTTCCTTCTATTATTAAATAATTAATATATTAAATAATTAATAACTGTCTCTTCCTTCTTATATTAAACAATTAATAACTGTCTCTTCCTTCCTATATTAAATAATTAATAACTGTCTCTTCCTTCTTATATTAAATAATTAATAACTGTCTCTTCCTTCTTATATTAAATAATTAATAAATGTCTCTTCCTTCCTATATTAAATAATTAATAACTGTCTCTTCCTTCTTATATTAAACAATTAATAACTGTCTCTTCCTTCCTATATTAAATAATTAATAACTGTCTCTTCCTTCTTATATTAAATAATTAATAACTGTCTCTTCCTTCTTATATTAAATAATTAATAACTGTCTCTTCCTTCTTATATTAAATAATTAATAACTGTCTCTTCCTTCTTATATTAAATAATTAATAACTGTCTCTTCCTTCTTATATTAAATAATTAATAACTGTCTCTTCCTTCTTATATTAAACAATTAATAACTGTCTCTTCCTTCTTATATTAAACAATTAATAACTGTCTCTTCCTTCCTATATTAAATAATTAATAACTGTCTCTTCCTTCTTATATTAAACAATTAATAACTGTCTCTTCCTTCTTATATTAAACAATTAATAACTGTCTCTTCCTTCCTATATTAAATAATTAATAACTGTCTCTTCCTTCTTATATTAAATAATTAATAACTGTCTCTTCCTTCCTATATTAAATAATTAATAACTGTCTCTTCCTTCTTATATTAAATAATTAATAACTATCTCTTCCTTCTTATATTAAATAATTAATAACTGTCTCTTCCTTCCTATATTAAATAATTAATTACTGTCTCTTCCTTCTTATATTAAATAATTAATAACTGTCTCTTCCTTCCTATATTAAATAATTAATAACTGTCTCTTCCTTAGCTAGAAATAGTATTAAGATTTAAATTTTTTTTTTTATTTAAAGTAAGTAAAATATATTACTATATATAGTGCTGACCTAAATAGCAATAAATTAATAGTTTGTTGGCAGATAGTGTACAGATAGTTGAGAACAATGATGTTTAGATATTTTAGATATGACTATAGAATTGTCACAATAGTAAAACAGTATGTGAAGTATCAATATGTTAGAAATGTTGTTTTATGTTGTTGTTTTTTCTTTATAAAAAGTATGTCTTTCTGTTGTTTTTATCAATATGTTTTGTCTAGAAAGGTTCCTTTATATAAACACATTTACATGCAATTATAAAATACCTGATAAAAGTAAGGATTGGGCTCAGATTCTCCAACACCATTAAAGTCTTGAACATCAATTAATTGGTAGTCATAAAACATTCCTGGGTTTCCATGCTTAAATTTAGACCAAGTAACAACATGCTGCAAATCACCTAGTTTATCATATCTCCAACTATATAACTGACAGAGACTAAAAATATATATATATATATACGTGAGATAATAAATTTTGTTTAAAAATTGTTTTTTAAATTGATTTTTAAATTAAAAAAATGATTTTAAAATATTTTAATTTATTTTTTACCTTGGTCTTGCTCGCCCCTGTGCATCTAGCTGAACATAGGGAACACCAAGTCTCACAAATCTTGTAAATAAAGATTGTTCCATATTAGAAAACTTTTGGAAAGCCATATTTTTGATAACTGGAGGAAGCTATGCATATAAATATATACAATATAACACAAGTATAAATGATCTATGTACTACATTATACCCAATTTATTTGTCATTTGCTATGTATATAAGTATGTATGATACAATGCAAGTATATATGATTTATTTACAAAAATAGATGCTAATAATTTTGTTATAAAATGCTATTTATTAGTTATAAAAGATGATTTGATTATATATTTTTACTATTTACATTTATTTTTAATAAAAAACCTAAACTTTTCTTCTTGTTTATATTATCTATTAATTTCTATTTTATTATTATTCTATTTATATTATTATTTTATTTTTGTGATAACTTTGAACCTTTGTCTATTTCTGACTATTTTACTTGTGATTCAAATAACAACAACAATAAAAATAAAACCTGGTGGTGATCCCCAATCAAAATGACTCTTTTTAAACGATTATGCCCATCCTGAGGATTCTGTATTGACATTATAAATTAATACATTTGTATCAAAAAAAGAAAAACGCTCACTAAAAGAGTAATACAATTCTTACTTGCAACATCAACGGGATAAAAGTTTCAATTTCAAGGATTTGAGCTGCTTCTTCCATCAAAACATTATCATACTAAAATTAAAATAAAACATTATGCTAAAAATATAATAAAACTACTTAAAATTTAATATATTAAATTATAAATATAGTGATTTTAATTTATAATTAGTAACCATACTTAAAACAAAACATACTAAAAGTAAAATAAAACATTATCACGCTTAAAAGAAAACAACTGTTTGTTCAATTTTATGTATTTTATATATAGTAGATACTTAAAAAAGTACAAATAAAATAATACTTTAAAATTTAGTTCTACAAGATCCCTTCTTCGCAAGGCAGCATGGGTACAAGTCATGGCAATAATTTTTGCAGTCTTAATCAGTAAATACTTTGAACGATCCCTTCCTAAATAGAAAATTTTGAATGAATACTATTTTTTAAAACTTGATTTTAAACATAATTTATATAAAACATACCACTTCTTAAAAGCTCAAAAGCCCTGAACTCTTCCAGTTCAGTGAAAATCTTTTGAATGTGTCTATAACAACCCTACATAAATATTAAAAAAAAATTAAACCAGTAAAACTACAGTGATAAACTCAAAAGATAAAATAATAAAACAAGTAACAAAAATTCAACTTCAGCAATTATCCAATCCTCTTCATAAGAACGTTGTTTAAACAATGGCTAAATAAATAAATGACATCTACTATTTTTACAAGAAATTAATCTAAATAAAGAAATTAAAAAAAAAAAAAAAAAAAAACTTACTTGAGGTGCATTTAAAAAATAAACTTTAAAAGGAAACAATTCTGAAACTGATTCAGCATCATCAACCTTTAAACAAATAAACTTTTATAAACATCTCTATAAAAAATCTTCAGCCATTCAAATTATAAACTTTTCTATAAATATGATCTTTTTTATGCAAATCCTTAATAAATTCAACCAGTTAAAAAATTTCACTTTAAAAATCCTTTTTTTAAATATATAATGAAAAGTATATAAAATTAGTAAATTTTAAATATCATCTATAAAACTTATCCAACCTTATGCTTTAGTTGACTGATATACTTTTCCCATCGTGAGACAATCTACATATAAAAAATAAAATATAAACAACTTAAATATAAAAGCATTAATAATAAAAATATTGACGTAATAATAATAAAAATATTGAATTATCAATAATAAAAATTAATATTAATAATAAAAATATTGAAATAAAGCATTAATAATAAAAACAATGGCAATTGACAAGTCGTCGTCGTCATCATCATCATCATCATCATCATCATCATCATCATCATCATCATCATCATCATCATCATCATCATCATCATCATTTATTTATTAAATCACATCTTTATATAAATTTAAACCTTGCCATAACCTTAACCCTAAGCCTGACCTTGATGCCTGGCCAAACCAAACCCTCAGTCGATGTAGCAACACTCCCTTGCAAGTCAGACTATTTGTAAGTGTTGGTTTTTTTGTAAAATCTGTTCCCATATATATATATATATATATATATATATATATATATATATATATATATATATATATATATATATATATATATATATATATATATATATATATATATATATATATATATATTTATTTGCATTCACTCCCAACAAGGCTGCAAGCAACCACTATTAAGTTGGGAGTTACTAGGAAAAAAAAGAACAGAGTTATAGAACAAGGAAATGGTTGACAGAAGACTTAAAAAGTTGAAGGTTGTATGAGTCAGGAAAACATGAAGATGGGAGAGATTTCCAAAGGATTGAAGTGCGGGGAAAAAAACTAGATCAATAAAAGTTTTTAGAGCATGCAGGGACAGATACAATAAAAGAATGAGACTTAGCTGAATGACGAGTAAAACGAGAATGAATTTTAGTTGATGGAACTAGAGATGATAACTCCTTTGAGCAGTGACCATGATAGTATTTGTAGAAAAGAGAAAGAGATGCAACTTTACAACGATGGGAAAAAGGTTCAAGCTTAGCAGATAGTCCAGGTCCAACAACATTTACAATGCGTTTTTGGACCTTGTCAAGAAGAGAAAGTGAATCGTTAGAAGAACCAGCCCAAATATGACAACAGCATTCCATACAGAGACGAATAAGAGATTTGTAGAGGTAGAGAATGGAATCAGAAGTAAGGAAACAGCAACCACAATAAAGAGAAGCAACCTTAGCATAAGCTAATTTAGCAATCGATTGTATATATAGTTTCCATGAAAGGTCAGTAGAAAGCGATAATCCAAGAAGACATAAAGAGGAGGACTCAGTAAGAGGATTGCCATTCATTAATATAGGAATGTTGACCATATTATGGTAGTTGTTTGCAGTAAGCTTGCTTGCAACTGGGTTTTTTTAGAGTTGAAATTCACAAGCCACTGTGAACCCCAATCTATTACTGAAGTAAGACTTTTTGTCAAGACAGGAGTATAAAGTTGAGTCATCAGCAAAAAGAGCTTTAGATGAAAGGTTGTCAGGAAGATGGTATATGTAGATAAGAAACAAAACAGGGCCCAGGATGGAACTTTGGGGAACCCCAGAAGTTACTGGAAATAAAGAAGTGTTGGCCTTCAAGGATGACTTTAATAAACCGGTTAGAAAGAAATGATCTGATAATCTTAAAAACTTTCCCAGAAACAACATATGAAGCAAGCTTATGGAGAAGACCAGCATGCCAAACTTTGTTGAAAGCTTTAGATATGTCGAGAGCAATAGCCCTAGCCTCACCGCCTCCATATAATGCACGATAAAATCTTTCAGTTAGCAACTCAGCCGTAGAGCGAGAGGATCGAAAACCGTATTGATTGTCTGACAGTAGTTTATTTGACTCAAGATGAGATGTGAGGAATTTGTTGATCAAAGACTATATATATATATATATATATCAAAGTACTATATATATAAAATATATATATATATATATATATATATATATATATATATATATATATATATATATATATATATATATATATATATATATATATATATATATATATATATATATAGGAAACTAGGTTTGAATGCACAGACTATTTTTTTATGTGCTTTTGTTTGAATCCACTTCACTCTATCACCTTTTTCTTTGTTCTATATTGCTCTCCTTTATCTCAAGAATGCACTCTTTTCGATGTCTGTTCAAATTGACCAAGCCTTTTCTCTTTATCATTTAGCCATTATCGTTGTTGTTGGTGATATTAATGCTCATCACATGGCTCAAGTGTCAGTGACTCTGCAGGCATTAAGGCCCACAACATTTACCTTTCTCAATCTCTAACTCGAACAGTTAACTTTCCAACATGCTTTCCTGACAATCCAAAATAATTACCTTCTCTACTCTACCTATGGCTTGTTTCTGATCCTAATCAGTGCTCAGCTTCTCCACATTTACATTTAGATGCTTCCAATCACAGTTTGATCTCTCTAAAACTATTATCTTATTCTGTTTCATCATCAGAATCTCCCTATCATCGTACCTACAACTTCTCTAAAACTGACTGGGACTCTTTCATGATGGCCTTTGCGTAGAAATCCTTCCTCTTCCTGAGAACAAATGTGCTTCTTACATAACTTCTTGGACTCTTGGCTGGCATGGGATCTTTTATTCTCCCTCTCGACAATTCCTAGTCAAACCCCACTCTCCGTGGTTTTCCTTAAGTTGTGCTGCCGCAATTTCCAATAGAAACCATTACTTCCGTATCTATCAGCAAAACAATTCTCCAGAAAACAGAAGTCTGTTTACTACTGCTAGAAACTATTATAAAAAGGATTTGTCTAACGCTGAGGCCCGCTATTCTCAGGTCATAAAATCTTGTATTTTATCTCAAAAATATACTCTTTTTAATTTACATTAACGATCTTTCAGATATTCTCACATCTAAGGTGGCATAGTTCACTGATGATACTACCATATGTTCTTGTCTTGATAAGAAGCCAACCCTCTCTGATTGCTTGGAGGAGGCATTTGAGCTTGAAAAGGATCTCAACAATAATGCCCTTTCTTTTCTAGACAAAGCACAAAAACATATTGTTAACATAGTTGGGCCTGCTCTTGGAGCCAACCTCTAATCATTATTACATAGTTGTAATGTTGCTTCTTTATCTTTTCTACAAATACTATAATAGACACTGCTCTATAGAGTTAGCACCTCTTGCGCCATCTACTAAAATTAATTCTGTTACTCCTCATTTAAATAAGTCTCATCTTTTTTCTGTGACTGTTCTTAAGTGCTCCAAAAATTCTTATTTGTCTAGTATTTTTCCTTGAAAATCAGTTCTTTAAATTTACTTTCTTCATCTTGTTTTTTTAATTCATTTAAAATTGCAATCTTGTAAGTCATCTTTCTATTGTTATCTTGATCTATAAACTTCATCTTTTCTCTTTCAGCAACTTCCAACTCTAATAGTGGTTGCTTGCAGCCACTATTAGCCACTATTATAATTAGAAGATGACGAAAATAAAAATGATCTTAAAGATAAAAAAAAAAATATGTGCAATGATATAAATGTACCAATTTTAAAAAAAGTGTACTCAATCGTTAGTTCGTTAATCGTTAGTAAACTTGCTGTGGATAATCAATCTATCTTTAAAAAAACAGGGAGGAGTAGTACTTTAATGGATCATAAGTTACTTAACAGGAAGGACTCAAAATGTAAAAATTGGTGATCAGTTATCATCTGAACCCTGTAAGGTAGGTGTGCCTTAGGGATCAGTACTAAAGTGCCTGTTATTTTAAAATACATGAGTGATATTATAGATTAATATGATATTAACATGACATTACTACCAGATATATAAACAATTTCATTGCAGATAAAACATTAGTTTGTTATTTAAAAAAATTATACAGCCCTTTATAGAAGTTTTAACTGTTGTTAAAACTGTTGTTACTGTAATCCCATATCTGAACAAAATATAACATTAAAGTATAAGTAATTATTCACTAACTTGCTAGATAGATTAAAAAAATTTATTTTTTAATAAGTTTTTTCACACTTTGTTTATTAATGTTGTATTCAAACAAATTTTTTTTTTTTTTTTTTTTTGCTAAGTATATTGATTTAAAAGTTTACTATATAATAAAAATTAAACTTTCTCTTTTTTAATTTCACATTTATTTTATTTTATTTGTATATAATGACTATATTTCACATAATTGTTGTTCAATCATTTATAACCATGGTATGAAGTTTTAAAAACAATAATTAATTTATTCATCAAACCGCTTTAAAGATATTTTAAATTTTTAAATTTTAACCAAACAAATTTTTTTTTACAAGTAAACAGCATAGTACAACAATAATTGTGTATATGAAAAGCATAATGCGTAACGCTTCATCACAAAGCCAGATATATACATACATTTCAATGAACATATGAAACTCAAACAACTAAAATCTATAATTCTGCTAATGACATCTTTTATTTCTTTCAGAGTAATAAAAGATACAAACACATAGAAACTGAAAAACAAACAACAACAAACTATGATACTTCACTTTCACAATTTTTACAGTAATTATACTTGATTTAGAATTTAAGTAAATTGTTTTTTTTCTTTTTAATGTTGTTTTTTTTTTTTTTAAAAAATTATTTTGTTTAGAATTTAAACAAAATGTTTGTCTTTACCTTTTTTTTTTTTTTTTTTCATTATTACTTTGTTTAACATTTATGTAAACTTTTAAAATTGTTTTTATTTCAATTATTTTATTTATAAACCTTTTATTTTTATTTATAAAACTTTTTTTGTTGGTCATTTTTATTTTTATTTTAATTGTATTATCTAGAATTTAAATCAAATGTTTGTTTTATATATATATATATATATATATATATATATTAGGTAATAAATAAAAAGATAAATAGTTTTAACAGATAAAAATATAAATATTTTAGATTAAAGTTTTATTTACCTGATATAAGTAAAAATGGCCAGCAGTTTCACATGTATAACCAACATCACCAGAAACACCCAAACTTTGCTGTATTTATTTAAAAAAAATTATAAACTATTAAAAATTATATTTAATAAATTTTGTATGAAATATAGAACAAAAATGAATAAAGTTTTGTATTTTTTATACAAAATAATACAATAAAAAGTACAAAATAATACAATAAAAATATAAAATAGTACAATAAAAAAGTACAATAGCACTAAAAAATTTTATTATTGTTTTTAAAAACATTTCAAAAATTTGAAAATTAAACCAACTTGAAGTCTTTGAACTTCTTCCAGCAAATACAACCTTCGAGCAAGTACAAAGTTTACACGCCCATACCTTTAAGAAGCAAAATTTAATATATATATATATTATATATATATATATATATATATATATATATATATATATATATATATATATATATATATGCATATATATATATATATATGCATATATATATATATATATATATATATATATATATATATATATATATATATATATATATGCATATATATATATATATGCATATATGCATATATATATATATATATATATATATATATATATATATATATATATATATATATATATATATATATATATATATAGGCTTTACCTACAAACATGTCTTTAATTTAAAAAACAAATTTTAGCTAATAATTTATAGGCTTGTTTTTATTTCTGTTTATTTAATTGTCAGAAATATTCATATACCTTGTATAATTTATATCAAACATATGTATAAAATAAAAACTTAACTAGTAATATAAAAACCTGCTAAAATCTTTGTCAGTCTCCAAGGTCTCTGCAGCATGACCCAAACGTAATAAATGTCGTTCATCTATGTCCAAAGCCATAATTTTTTCAAACAGTTGGTTTAAAGCCTGAGGATAAAGTTAAAAAAAAAAGTTTACATGACTTTTATTTAAGACAAACAAAATATTAAACAGATTACCACCACCATGATAATCACCATGATCTTAACCATCATGATCTTCAATAGGACAATCTTGAATATCATTACCATTATAATTTTCATGATGATGATCATAATAATTAGCATTTTTTCACTAGATGATGATGTCATCACACAATTATGATGTCATCACACAATGATGGTATTACACTGTGATGATTTCATCATACAGTGATGATGTCATCACACAATAATGATGTCATTACACAGTGATGATGTCATCACACAATGATGACAATGACACCATCATTATCATGATTACAATTTGTTTTTCATTTTTTATTAGAAAATATTTTTATAATTGATTTATAAGTATTTTTAACTATTTTTTTCATAATCAGAAGTCTAAATAGCAAGTTAACTTAAGAACAGGATATATAATAATAATAATAATAATAATAATAATATATATATATATATATATATATATATATATATAGATATATATATATATATATATATATATATATATATATATATATATATTTTGAACATTGCATTAGCAATAAATTTGTAAAAATTTTAATAAAAATCACAATATTTTTTATTCTTGACTTGTTTCGTAGTCTTACTACATTTTCAAAAGATTTAATTTACAATTAAAACTCTGGTAAATAAATTTAAAAACTGAAGACAATACAGAGAAAAAATTAACGGACAAATAAACTTGTTACAAACCAATTAAAAATAATATTACAAATTATGACAAAATGAACTTCCTAATATTAAAATATTAATAATAATAATAATAATAATATTAATAATAATATAGAAAGTTAGATGGATAAATTTATAATATAATGAGATGTTTGTTTATTTAAAGAAGGATTTTCCCATTTAATATGAAGTGCTTCTTTTATTTTTCGTTTGTTAATGGTAGAGGCAGTATCCAAAATCTGAAAGCAATCATAATTAGTTAGTGTTTTACAATTAATGGATGAATTTAAAAATATGCAATTGCTTGTCACTCATAAGATGCTCATTTATCCTTGTTGTCAAATGTCTGGAGGTTTCTCCAATATAACTGGCGTTACAGCCAGCACAAGAAAATTTGTAGACAACGTTAGATTTAAGCATCTTAGGAAGTGGATCTTTTATGCAAAAACTGTTTTTCAATTTAGCGGTTGTGAATATAAATTTGATTATCACATTTTTACAATACTTTTTAATAATTTCATCAGTTTTAGTTTTAGTGAAATTTGAGTAAACTCCAATAAATGGAAGCTTAAAATATCTTATATTAGTATTATCAACAGTATTTATAACAGGTGGATTAATTTTCTTTTCAACATATAATTTAATTTCAGTGTCGATAACTTTTTGTGCAAATTGATTATTTTTTAAAACTAAAGAAAGATTTTTTATCCTTATCAAATCCAAACCACGTGTTGTTAATTTTATATGTTCAATCAATCAAGCAACGTATAAGACCAGTTTTGTAACATGAAGGGACAAAACTAAAGAAATTTTGTAAAAGACCCGTGTATGTTTTTTTGTGATAAACTGATGTAGAGAGTGAATTAGACTTATTAATAAGAACATCCAAAAATGGAATTTGGTTGTCTTTTTCTTTTTCCATATCTTAAGTTTTTGTGTTGTTTATTGAGATGTTTAAAGAATTCTTGCGCTTCAAACTCTGAATTAAAAATTGCTATTATGTCATCCACATAACGTTTATAAAAAATCAGTATAGAGGATGAGCAATTATTAACCCACGTTTGTTCATGAAAACCGATAAAGAAAACATCGTAATAACAAGACCAGACAAAGGGAATGGTATAATTGTTCTAAATAAAGTTGACTATATAAATTCTAATAATAATATAAGTGATAAAACTAAATTTAAAGAATTAAAAAATGATCCAACTATAAAAAGAGAAGTATCTTTACAAGGGTATCTTAGAAAACTTAAAAAACTTAAATGTTTTGAAAAAGACATTTACTATAAAATTTATCCTGTTGGTTCACAACCAGCAAGAATTTATGCTTTACCTAAGATGCATAAACTTAGTAAAGATTTTTCTCTACCATCTTTTCGACCAATTATTTCAACAATTGGCACATATAATTATAAACTTCCTAAACATCTTTCAGATTTATTATCTCCATATTTACCAAAACATTATACCACTTTTGACTCATTTTCATTCGTTGAAGCTTTAAAACAAGTTGACGTAACTAACAAATTTATAGTTTCTTATGATGTTGAAAACTTATTTACTAACATTCCACTTAATGAAACTATAAATATAGCAACAGAATTATTTTTTAAAGATAAAAGTCGCTCAAAATATTTTTCTAAAACTCATTTCAAAAAATTACTTCAAATTTCAACGTCAGGTTCTCATTTCTTATTTAACAGAAAATTTTATGATCAATTAGATGGCGTTGCAATGGGTTCTCCTTTAGCGCCAATTTTAGCTAATATGTTTATCATTTTGTTATAATTTGTACTATAATTTTTAATTGGTTTGTAACAAGTTTATTTGTCCGTTAATTTTTTCTCTGTATTGTCTTCAGTTTTTAAATTTATTTACCAGAGTTTTAATTGTAAATTAAATCTTTTGAAAATGTAGTAAGACTACGAAACAAGTCAAGAATAAAAAATATTGTGATTTTTATTAAAATTTTTACAAATTTATTGCTAATGCAATGTTCGAAATATATATATATATATATATATATATATACATATATATATATATATATATATATATATATATATATATATATATATATATATATATATATATATATATAAAAAATCAGTTTTTCCTTTTTTTTTAATTACAAAATTAATTGAAGAAAACAAAAACAAAAAATTCAAAACCTGATTAGAATGTGTCACAATAAGTGTTCTTTGATCAGGAAAATTATGATAAATATTAGAAATGATTTGTACAGCAACATCTGTTTTTCCAGTACCAGGTGGCCCAACAACCTACAATAAAAATTCCATCTATAAACTATAAAACAAACTTGATTAAAAGTTAAAATTGTGACCAATTTTACCAGTTTAAGATTCCTATTGATATGCATGATTAACATATTAGTATGCATAACCTTCAAAAAGGTTTTTCAGGCTATTCAATAGATAATAGGGTATAACAACATATTTGAAAATTTACAAGACATGAGAAAATATCTTCTCATATCTTTTACATTAAAATTAACAAAGATCAAAAAAAGGCTTTCTAAGAAATTAGAAAGAAAAAAAATTGATGTATATTTGCTTGCCAAAAGAAAATATACATTAATCATATATCATCACTATTTTTTTTTAAATAGATCATGATAAAACATTAGTAAATTATAACTAAAAATGAAAAGTAAAAATTAGTAAATTATAACTAAAAATGAAAAGTAAAAATTAGTAAATTATAACTAAAAATGAAAAGTAAAAATTAGTAAATTATAACTAAAAATAAAAAGTAAAAATTAGTAAATTATAACTAAAAATGAAAAGTAAAAATTAGTTAATTAATAACTAAAAATGAAAAGTAAAAATTAGTAAACTAAAAATTTATTTCAGTCATGTGATTAAATCAAAATCTTTTCATAAATAAAAAAAAATTTCTTAAGAAGAGCTTTTCTATAATTTCTTAAGAAGAGCACTTTTCTATAATTTCTTAAGACTTTAATTTGACAGCTCTTTAATTTGTCTATCCAACTTTGTATGCATCATTATTTGAACCATTATTTGCAATCAAAAATGACACTAACATGTGTATACATGCATAGTACACATGAAAATGTGTATACATGCATAGTACACATGAAAATGTGTATACATGCATAGTACACATGAAAATGTGTATACATGCATAGTACACATGAAAATGTGTATACATGCATAGTACACATGAAAATACGCATACACATACTTTGAAAGATTATTTTTATTTTAAAATTATATTTTCTGACCCAAAAAGAAATTTAGCTCATATAGCAGACTAACTTTATTCTTTGAGAATTTTTATATCTACATCTATTGACACACTTTATCGTGGAATATCCAACTAATAAGTCAAAGAAAATACAACCTTAAATAAAAATACAGTTAAAAATTTCTCTAGAAATTTAAGATACTTACAAGACTTGTTTGATATAGTATGCTATATTAATTTAAAATTAAAGAAAGCTACATTAATTTAAAATTAAAGAAAGCTACATTAATTTGCTTAGACAAACAAATCATTACCTCTAAATGTCTCGTTTCTGATATAGTAATTAAAACTACTGTCAGAAACAAAAGATCTCATTGAGTTTTGTTTGTTTCTTTATTATTTCTAGATAAACAGTGAAATTTTGAATTAAAGAATTGAGTTTCTATTTGAATATTTTTGTGTTTTTATTAAACCATTTTCTCTAATCTACAGCCAAACAGTTCAAAATTGTTAACAAACATACTTCTTTAAAATGTACAATTAAAGTTAATATTTTTCTTGATACTACAATAATTGATAATAATAAAGGTAAATATGAGTTTATAAGATTTAGAAAAAAAACTATAACTAATAGTTAAAACTCATTCTAATCACAATCCAATATGTTTAGAAGCAAGATTTATACCTTCAAAGCTTATGCCACAAACATGCATGCATATGCATATGCATATATATATATATATATATGTATATATATATATATATATATATATATATATATATATATATATATATATATATATATATATATATATATATATATATATATGTGTGTATATGTATATGTATATATATATACATATATATATATATATATATACATATATATATATATATATATACATATATATACATATATATATATATATATATATATATATATATATATATATATATATATATATATATATATATATATATATATATATATATATATATATATATATATATATATATATATATATATATATATATATATATTACTGACAGTATTTATAATTTTTTGTCCCCATTTTCTATGAATATGAGTTATTAGAAGATCTTGTAACCCTGCAACTTTAAAATAATTGTGCAACTTTATAAAACAATATATATTTTAACTTTATCATAACACCAATTTTGTTAAAAAAGCTCAAATGTAAATACCATTGTCAACCCAGGCTGCATCCCTGATTTAATTGCTTCTACCTGAGTTGGTGTAAATGGAACTGTATTCCTAAGAATGTAAAAAAGTTAGAATAATTATAAATTATCATGGTATAACCTTATTAATCTGTTAATAGATGTAATTAGGTAGTTGGTTTTTTTTATTAGAGTTTATATATACTCCAAACTATATAATTTAAAACATAGAAAAAAAAAACTCATATAAATTATTCTTCATGCATTTTGAAGTACATGTGCATTTATATTTATACCAGACCATAATGTAAATAAGTGCAAACAAAAAAGTCAGCAAAATAACCAAAAACTGTTTTGAGCAAAAACACAATGAAATTGAATAATTACTTAGAAGATAATTAGTCACGATATTTTAAAAATGATGCGTTAAGCTTTTGTGAGGTGCAAAAATGCCTCACAAAATATCACAGTGTAATGCATGATCTTGTTGTTATAAATAAGCGATTAATAAGTAAAATTTATAACTTTTTTAAAACCTATTTTTTTAATTTTAATTTTTTTAAAAAAATACTTAAACTTTGTTAAAATTAAATTCAGCTCCTAAGGCTCCAGAGACAGGCTTGGTCAGGAAGCGGGAGCGAACACTCTCGAATACTGACCACGGAAATTATATTTAGTTGCGAAAAACTGGCCAGGATTTTTAGTCATTTTGACAATGTTTAAATTTATGTACGAAACAAAAAATTTTTGTTTTATGGACATGCATGGAAACATAAAAAACTTGAATGTTTTCAAAACATCAAGAAGAATAAAAAGAATATTCGCGAACACTAAAAACCCGCCAAATTAACGAACAAACTAATTCTATAAGTTCAAAAAATATGCTGACTAAGCGAAATAAAGTTCTAGAGTATTCTGATGAAATGTTTTTGAAATTGTATAATTCACGCTTGTTACGTTTTGAGATTTCTAGCACAAATTGTTTTAAGAATATATACTATTTGATTACAAAAATAAATGTTTTAAATATATATTATTTGAATTGTCAAAATTTTGAAAGTTTATTATTAATTATAGATTTTAGTATATTCTTATTTTTTATTTAAAAAATACATAACAGATACACAAAATTACATTTACATAAAATTTATGTAAATGTAATTTTGTGTATCTTTTTTTTATCGTAATGTATCTTTTAAAGCAATTTTTATGATTTAAACAAAGACTTACAATAAAATTGAGTTTTCAAAGAAGTTATAATCATTAAAGTTAATAAAACTAATTATGTAACAAACAAATAAGAAGTTTCTGGGTACTAAACACAAACAACGCATACAAAGTAACTCACGGATGAACAAGCATCGCGCCTGAGGTCAGGACAGAACACAAATATATATAGCAAATTATTAGATATAAAAAAAAGTTTCTAAATATTGGTTTATTAACTCTAATTATTTTCGCTTAAGTTGCCATTCTTAAAACTCGCTATACTTTTTTCTGTTTTAAATACTAATTAAAATTAAATAGCCCACTCACTAAACATCAGCGAAGCAGTTTAGTTTCCTAGTCATAAAGTATTTTTAACCTTTTTAGTTGATTTCTATCTGGTTAATTTAATTTCTATAGTAATTCAATGATTTAATTATTTTCATTTGTTTATCTTACTAAGAAGAATTGCTTCATATATGTTAAACTTTTCAAACTACTTGAAACATAAAATAGGTATTAAAAAAATTAACTTTTTTATCTATAAAATAATTTAGCTTAAATAGAACTAAAACTTGTACACTTGGTTAAATAAAGAACATTTGTTTCCTTTTTAAACAATTGTAAGATGTTACTTTATATAAAAAAACGTCGCTTAATTTTATTAAAAAAATTTTATTAAAAAAAAGAGCGATGTTTCGAAAATATTTGTTCCAAACGTAATTTATTTTGCTTTACTTTTTTTTTTGCGTTAAGATATTTTATTTTCCTAATTTTTTTTTTTTTTTTGTAATTGTCTCTCATTGGTTCAATTAATCTTAAGCGCATTTTTTTTTTTGTTTATTGAAATGTTCTCAAAACAACTAAAAAATCTGGCCAGCTTTTCGCAACTAAATATTATTTCCATGGTCAGCAATCGAGAGTGATCGCTCCCGCTTCCCGACCAAGCCTGCAGAGGGGGTGACTAAATTTGATGAGGCTACTCAGTTCATTTTTATTATTTTGAACAAAAAAAATTCAACATAAAATTTTACAGTGTAATTTATTATACAACTAATAAAAAAATTTGATAAAATGTTTATTCAACCTTATCAGCTTATTTAATTAACAAAATATTTTTTGAAATAATTTTAAAACTTTCAAAAATAATTATGTGATGCAAATATAAGTGATGCAAATCCTATCAATGTTAAAAACTACATAGATAGATTATAATCAGTATATACTTACATATATAAATTACATATATAGTCTATAATCAGCGCAGTTTTATTGAATTTCTCTTAGAGATCAGTTAAAAACTATAATTTTTTTGTTGTCAATATTATTTTTCAGAACAATTAAAAATAGTAAAAATAAATGATATAACTATTAATTATATTCTTATACTATTTTTCTGACCTGCCATATTTTAAGATAATTAAGTAAATAAACTTTTGGAACAGACATGAATTTTTAGTGCTCGAAAAAATTATTTTTAAATACAAATTTAGTTGAAAATGTTTTCAGCCAGATTAATTACAGCTTGAATAATACACAACTTTATTAGTAAAACAAAAATGTTAATATAAATATTCACAAATTAAATATTTGAAAAAATAAAATACTTATTTAAAAATTTGCTTGTTTTAAAAACTCACATCTTTGGTTTATTATATGGGTAGGGACCTCTGTTTGGAATCTGGTAAGGAGTAACAAGTAGCTCAGATTTTTCACAATGCGAATCAGCTTTTCGTTTTCTAGTTTCTTTTTCAACAGGAAAAGTTATTCTAAGCAGAAAAGAAGTCCTTGGTCAAAACAATATTATAAAACAACCATAACAACATCTTAAAAAAGAAAATCAAATAAGTAATTTAAATTAAATATCAACAAATAGTACAAAATTTAGAACAAAAACTAAAATTAAAAAAGCTAAAAAGATAAACAAACTACTTAAAAGGTGGCACTGGATTTTGTTCTTCACACTGAAAAAATAACCCAAAAACATTTATTACTTTTGCTTTATTTTAAATCAGAGGAACATTGAAAAAAACATGGCAATTTATAATTATTTTAAAAATTAAAACTTATTAATCTTATTCAATTTAAATTCTAAATCTAAATTAACTTTAGTCAAAAATTTATCAAGACTATAAACAGAGCAACACTATCATATTTGCTTTTTATCAACAATTCAAAAACATATCCAGATACTTCGAAAATTAATAACAAATGCAGGTTGGGTGTTTTATAACAATTTTGATATAAAGGAAATTGAATATATATATATATATATATATATATATATATATATATATATATATATATAATATATATATATATATATAATATATATATATATATATATATATATTGTAGTTTCTTTCGTCATTCTGTTTAGAGTCATAAATATTATCAGGCGGACCTAAGGAGGACAGATATTTAGTATATACTTTTTAAGTATATATCAAATACATGTTTCATAATAGATAGTATATACTATATATATATATATATATATATATATATATATATATATATATATATATATATATATATATATATATATATATATTGTAGTTTCTTTCGTCATTCTGTTTAGAGTCATAAATATTATCAGGCGGACCTAAGGAGGACAGATATTTAGTATATACTTTTTAAGTATATATCAAATACATGTTTCATAATAGATAGTATATACTATATATATATATATATATATATATATATATATATATATATATATATATATATATATATATATCAGGCCTTGTTTTAAAGCGTTACGCCTAGAGTGATTTACGTATGCCTTAAGCGATTTTTACGTACGCGTAGAGCTGTTTTGGTTAAGCTACTTTTTATCATTTTTTAACTTTTAAATTAGCGGTAACATAAAAGAAGTAATTAATTTAAAAAAAAAACC